TCGGCTGTGTGCAAGTGGGTCGATATGACACACAGGGGTGGGGGCAGCCGCCGCTCAACCTACATCCACGTGGGCGGCCTTGTACGCAAAAGAGGTTCTGAACAGGGGGAGTTGTAAGAAAGAAGATAAAAAAAATAATTTTTTTTCTTATTTTCTTCTGTTTTTTCGCCTTTGCGCTCTGATATTCATGTGACGATATATCATCCGCGTGGCTGGCCTTGTACGTAAGAGGTGATGAACAGGTGGGTGGGGCTTTCCTTCCTTCCTTCCTTCTTTTCCTTTCCTTGTTTTCCTTTTTTTCGCCTCCGCGCTCTGATTCACAGTGCGACAATCCTGATCCCTGCCAAATGGGAGAGTTAGGGAAAAGACGGTTGACCGTAACTGAAACATAACGGAGTTAAACAGACCTTAACGGAAAGAATGTTCTCCCTTCTCAAAAAGTTTTAACCCCAGCGGAAGTCCATGGTGGTTTGTCACTCCTTAAAAATCACAACTACCTCTGGGGGGAGGTCCAACTAGCAAAGAGGATTGGGTCGAGAGTATGAATCTGGATGTCTTTTATGAAGAGATGCAGAAAAGCAGATCAATCCCGATTTTCTGCACCTTTCCAAGAAAACGTCCAGATTCAGGCGTTGAATCCAAAATCCTGTTTGCTAGTGGGACATGGCCTCTGGAGAAGTCGGACCCATCCCGGGAGAAACACTGGGGGAAAAAAAAAAAAAAAAAAAACTTTGGCCGTCGGATTGTCAATCCAACAGACCCCACCTGAAGAACGGCAGTCCTCCGGGGAAGAGGTCACTAGCAAAGAGGATTGGATTGAACGCCTGAATCTGGATGTAAGTGTGGGAAAGGTGCAGAATATCGCGATTGATCTGCTCTTCTGCATCTCCGGCGAAAGAACGTCCAGATGCAGGCAAAGAGGACTGGATTGAACGTCTGAATCTGGACGGAAGTGTGGGAAGGGTGCACCAGATCGCGATTGATTTGCTTTTCTGCATCTCCGGCGAAAGAACGTCCAGATTCAGGCTTTCAATCCAATCCTCTTTGCTAGTGGGACCTCGCCCCAGGTAACCAGGGTGGTGGTCAATGAGGTAGTGGTGTTTTAAGGCCCTCCTCCTCGTCAATCCTCCTCCTCCTCCTCCTCCTTACTAGACCGCAGTCTGTGACCGCCCCCATTTCTTGTCGTTGTCTCCCCATATCTCTGCCTACGGGTGGCAGTTCTCTCTCTCTCTCTCTCTCCATCTATGTGTCGATATATATATATATATATATACGTATGTATAGGGTCAGCACATACAGCTCTGAAATTTTGAAGGCACACTCTGTGATGATCCCCAAAAAAAGAAGAAGGAAAAAAGCAACAACAATCCCACAACACTTGGGGAGAATGCTGTCGAGTGAGGAGCGTGTTGTTGTTGTCAGCAGCACAGGTTGTGGAGGAGGGAGGAGGGAAGAGGAGCGAGGAGGAGGAGGGAAGAGGAGGGAGGAGGAGGACGGGGTAAGAGGAAGGGGAGGAGGAGGGGAGAGGAGGGAGCAGGAGGAGGGTGAGGAGCGTGTTGCTTGTTGTTGAAGAGGGAAGAGGAGGGAGGAGGAGGGAAGAGGAGGGAGGAGGGAAGAGGAGGGAAGAGGAGGTGGAGGAGGAGGAGGGAAGAGGAGGGAGGAGGAGGATGCAGAGGAGGGAAAAGGAGGGAGGAGGAGGAGGAGGGAAGAGGAGGGA